ATTTAAGGAGATAAAAATCTATAAGTACAGAAGTGTCATGAGTTGGAGCCAAACAATGCTATGCATTTTTCATAGACTATGCATTTAAAAGGTTTAACTTAGAGATGTGCAAAATAGTAATTTTGCTTACTATGCATGCGCATAATATGCTGCATGTATGCATACATGTATACATATTATATGCAGCATGATTAAAATTTATTATTGCTTCATAATATTAAAAATAAATTAGTTACAAGAAATTTTTTAATAAAATTTATGTTAGTTATATATAAAAAATCCTTAATCTTTATACATTACCATATAAATATGAAATCATTATTTTGAAAATCAGATCCTTTAAAAATAGTTTATATAGTCTCAAATTAGCACTTATAATATCTCAAATTACCATGCATCTTAATGTAGCACATGTAATTATTGATACTTCATATACACACACTCTATAAATACACTTTTTTTATAATAATAAGTGTACATTATTTGATATTATTCTCCATAATAAATATTCTATTGCAGTTATGGAAAGTTGACGTTAATTGTATTGAATTTAGAAAATCTTTTATGTATTTCAAAATAGTGCATATGAGCATATTCGAAATAATATGCAAATCAAATTAATTAGCATACTTGTATAGTAAATTTCATACTAAGTTAAAAAGAAATTTTAAATTTTGAAGTTAATTCGAAATTAATTCTAAATTCAAAATTTCAATTTTATATTCAATTAATACAGATTGTAGATATCAAATTTGTTATTTATAAAGCTAATAGGCATAAAATCTTTATTATATATTTTTATAAAACAAAAAAGTTTCGATAATAAATGCTTCAATCAGATTAATGAATACCTTTGCTTATCTTTTTTAACCCAATTAAATATTTATTCTTTTTGACTTCAATTTCAAATGTTTATCTTATTTAGTGAATTGATAATAAATGCTTATGTTCATTTTTTAAATCTAATTTTAAAATTTTTATTTTAATGGATTAGTGAAGACATTTTTTTTGACAATCTTTATTAACAAATGATAATACTTACCTTTTAATCATATCTTTTATTTTAGCAAGTTTTAAAAATAAGCACTTATTAATTCAATCTTAATTCCGTAATATTTCTTAGTTTAACCTTATTTCTAATACCTTTAGTGTTTTTTGTTTTTAACAAATTATTGATTCTTTAAATTTGCTTTTTAACTCTAATTCTATTTTTTACATCTATCTTTTCTACAATTTTTTATTTATTCACCTTCGCTATCTATATTATTTTCAGTTAACTCTGCTTCTGATTTAGATAATTCTATATTTTTATCTTCTTTGTTACTTTTTATTAATTTATCTTCACTACTTTCATCACTAGTATCAAGATCTAATAATCCAAACCTATGACTTTCACTAGATCTACTATTAAAATATATTGTTGCTTCTATTATATCAGATGACTCCTATTTAGAGTATATAAGCTTATAGTTGATATAGATATACACTAGTTTTAATACTTGTTGTGGTATTAACCGATTTTGTTTTTTATTATATATATAGGAAAATTTGACCAATTTCTTTCAGAAGCTGCTGATGATAATGGAATTGTAAGAATTCTTAATACAACTTTATATAACTCGGGTGCTGATGCTTCAAAATTCTCTTTCCACCAAGAAACAGAGTCTACTTCATTTACTGTATTTCAAGTCAAGAGCATGACAGAAGTTCGATTTATGCACCAATGTTATACAAGATTTGATATATCAAAAGTCATAGAAGTTTAGGGTCATGTCATATGACGGCATATCAAAAAAATCTTGTTTTCTTTTAAGCTTTGAATATGCAATTCTACAATCACTACACAAACAATTTGTGAAAACAGTTTTCAGTGATCTCTCGGTGATCTCTCGGTATTCCTTAAAATGCAAATTTATAGAATAAAATGCTAATATACTAATACATATAATTTTAATATGAATTCAAGCAAAAAAAAAAAATTAAAGCACTTTCAAAGTAAAGGTATTTATTGGTTTTTTTATAATTACCAATACACAATATTATTAAGTTCTGCCACCAGTTTAGATGAAACATCTAATATTTCTTTTACTTTTTCAGTTTTTTCTTCTGTATCCTTCATATCATCATCGTTATCATTATCAAGGTCTTCCCGGATAAGTTTATTTGCTTCTTTTTTAATTCGTTCTAAAAACTTATTAACATTTTTAAAAATTCCCTTCTTATAAAATTCCTCACAATATCTATATTTTCCTTAGTAACAAATTGTATGATAATCGTGTCCACAAACAAACACCATGCTGTCATTATTAACAAAAGGAAGTCTATAATAGTCGTATGATTCGGGGTCTGGGGATGTGCTGTGCTGTAAGCCATTGGTAGATGCTGTAGGTTCACATTTTCCTCTAAAGTGGCAAGTTAATATATCTTTGGTGGCTTTTTTTTTTTTTTGTCAGATTTTGGTGTACTTTTTTCATGATTGTAATATACATTTTGGAAATATTGTAAAAGAAAGAGCACTGCTCTATCATATAATAAATTTATTGCTTTTAAAGTATATGGGTACTGTCGTATTTTGCAAT